AGTTTGGTACACTGAAGACAACAAAACACTGACGAAAAAATTAAACACCTAAATGAAACTGAAAGAACTGTTGTGTTTGTGGATTAGAGAACTCAACTATTATTAAGATGTCAATTCTCTCCAAACTGACGTATAACTCAAGGCAACCTTTTTTTTTTAAAGATTTTATTTATTTATTTGACAGAGAGAGATCAAAAGTAGGCAGACAGGCAGGCAGAGAGGGGGAAGCAGGCTCCCTGCTGAGCAGAGAGTCCAATGCGGGGCTCAATCCAAGGACCCTGAGATCATGACCTGAGCAGGAGGCAGAGGCTTAACCCACTGAGCCACCCAGGCATCCTTCAAGGCAATCTTAATCAAAATCCCATCAGGCCTTTTTAATAGAGAAGCTGATCCTAAATTTATACAGAAATTACAAGAATCTAACATAAACAAAACCATTTTTCAAAAGAGGAACAAAGTGGGAGAACTCACACTACCTGATTTCAGGACAGTATAATAATTAAGAGTGTGGGATTGGCATGACAGACATATAAATCAATGGAACAGAGTCCAGAAATAGACCAACACATTTACAGTCAACCTGTTTTTGATAAAGATTCCAAAGAAGCATTAGACAAAAATTATAGTATTTTCAGCAAATGGTATTGTAATGACAATTAAATACTCATATGTAAAAAAATAAAGCTGGACCCTTACTTCACATCATATACAAAAACCAACTAAAATGGATCATATATAATAAATGTAAAATCTACAACTATAAAACTTCAGAAACAGGGGTTCACAACTAGGTAAAATTTTGACACTTCCTCTTCCCTCAACCACAGGACATTCAGCAATATTTGGAGACATGCTTCACAGTTACAACACGGGGGAATACTCCTGATATCTAGTGAGGAAAGGTCAAGAATGATGCTAAACACTATAACACATAGGACAGCTCCACCCAATAAGGAACTATCTAGCCCAAAATGTCAAAAAGGCCAAGGTTAAGAAACCTTGTTCTAGAAAAATATATAGAACAAAATCTTTGTGACACAGGATTAGGAAAAACTTTCTCAGAACACAACAATACAAACCACTAAAAAAAAACCCAAATCTATACAACAACCTCATTTTTTATGTGGGTTTTTAAAAAGATTTTATTTATTTATTTATTTATTTGTCAGAGAGAGAGAGAGAGAGAGAGAGAGACAGTCAGAGAGAGCACGGCAGGGGGAGTGGTGGAGGAAGAAGCAGACACCCCACTGAGCATGGAGCCCAATTCAGGGTTCAATCTCAGCACCCTGGGATCATGACCTGAGCTTAAGGCATACAGAGGCTTAACCAACTGAGACGAGACGCCCAGGCATCCTGATACATAGAATTCAAAGAAAAACTTACAAAATATACATTTTTTATAGGACTTGCATCCAGAATTTATAAAGAACTTCCAAACTCAACAGATGGAATAAATAAACCATTAAAAATGGGGGAAAGATTTTAAAAGACCCTACATCAAAGAAGAAACATAGGTGGCAAATAAGCACACAAAAAGATGTACAATATCATTAGTCATTAGCAAAATGCATACTAAAATCACAATGAGACACCATAATACAACTATGTATAAAATGATTAAAAATTTTAAAACAAAACTACTGGCAATACCAAGAGCTGGCAAGGATACAAATCAACTAGAACTCTCATATATTATGGGAGAAGGCAAATCGGTACAGCCACTTTGGAAAACAGTTTAGTACGTTCTCATAACATTAAACATACGATTACTTTATCAGACAGCAATCTCATTTCTAAGTATTTACCAAGAGAATGAAACCATTTGTCTGCCAAAAACCTTCACCTGTATGGAATACTACTCAGCAATAAAAAATTAAAAAGAACAAACTATTAATTCATACAATATGGATAAATCTCAAAAGCATGTGCTAAGTGAAAGAAGCCAGACTCAAAAACCTATACCCTTCAATTCTGAAAGGGCTAAACTATAGGGACAGAAATCAAATCAGTGGTTGCCAAGGACTAAGAATGGGGACATGACTGACTATATATTGAGGCACAAGGGAACCTTTCCGGGGTCATGACAATCTTGTATATCTCAAATGTGGTAGTGGTTATATGACTGTAAATATGTGCCAAAGCTCATCAAACTGTATACCTAGAAGAGGATTGCTGTATTTAAATTATACATCAATAAGGTTAACATAGCAGGAAACAGAGAAAATTCCTGAAAATTTCATTTAACAAGGAGCAGAATATTAAACCCAATAGCAGCTGGAGGGGAAGAGAGGATGAGACATTTGTACTCAGTTGCTAGAGGTGACATGGTCTAGACTGTGATCATCAGATAATAACAGAGTAAGCGCAGAAGTTTAGGAGGAGAAGTAGAGGAAAAGATCTGTGAAGGTTAGATCAAAGATCCAGGAGCTTTAGGCACTACATGGGTAATGTAAGCTGAAGTGAAAGAAACTGAGAACAGGGCAGCAAAAGCTATAGTTTCCAATGAATAAAGAGAGGTAACTCAGATAACAGCAACAAAGATGAACAAACAGAGTAACAAGAAGGAGAAAAGAAGAAAGGGAATAAAAAAAATAGCATAATGCTCCTGCTAGGCTGAGGAACCCAGGCATAAAGGCAGAAATAAAGAGCTACAGGATCTATCCATGGCATATAGTATCATAAGACAGGGACAAAAGGGGAAGACATCTATTTTTGGACCACGCTCTACCATAAATATGTCCTCAGAGAATATGAAACTATTTGGGGATATATCCCTATACTCATTTCCTAGGACTGCCATAACAAAGTTACACAAATTGGGGGGTTCAAAACAACAGAAATTTATTTTCTGACAGGCTAGAGGTATGGAGGCTAGAAGTCTGGAATCAAGGTGCTGGCAGGGCCATGTTCCACCCAAAGCCTCCAGGGAGGCTCCTTCCTTACCTCTTCCCTCAGATAGCCCCAGGCATTCTTTGGCCTGGAACACTGTATCTCCATTTTCTGCCTCTGCCTTCACAAGGCTGACTTCTTCCTGTGTGTGTCTCTTACACATGCTGTTCTCCTCTCTTATAAGGATATCAGTTATATTGGATTAAGGGCCTACCATACTTCAGTATGCTCTAAGTTATATTTGCAATCACCCTATTTTCAAACAAGGACACCTTCTAAAATACTGGGGATTAGGACTTCAACAAAATCTGGGCACACAATTCAATCTATGGCAATTCCCCTTTCATTTAATGGTCCCAGAATCCTATGCACTTTCCGGTCAAGATTTCTTTTAACCCCTTTTTTTCCCCTGATGATAGCAAATCTCCTTCCTCCATATCTTGCATCGAATGGATAATCACTGCAATTTAGGGGAAACAGAAGGTACCAGAAGAAATCTGATAACCAAGTTATTAGATAATCAACCTTATATATTTAACCATTACGAATAAGGTTGCATTTTTTTTTCCTCCAACAAACATATGTAAGCTTCTTTCCTATCTGCTCCCTAGTTTTCCATCTCTTCTAAATTCATGACTAAACTCTAGATTAGTACTCAAAGTATGGCCCAAAGATCGCTGGCCATCACAGACATTCTTTCAGGAAATCTATGTGCAGCTCCATCTATGCAAGGCCAGATTTTTTTTCACGTACTTCAGTGTATCCCAGCAGACTAAATGCACAAACAGATATGAGACTCCAACTATGATAGCTAACTTTTTTTTTAAGATTTTATTTACTCATTTGACAGACAGAGATCACAAGTAGGCAGAAAGGCAGGCAGGGAGAGGGGGGGTAAGCAGGCTCCCTACTGAGCAGAGAGCCCGATGCGGGACTCGATCCCAGAACCCTGGGATCATGACCCGAGCTGAAGGCAGAGGCTTTAACCCACTGAGCCACCCAGGCGCCCCTATGATGGTTAATTTTATGTGTCAACTTGGTTAAGCCACCAGACAACCAGATATTTGGTTAAACATTATTCTGTATGTCTGTATGTCTAACATTTGTCCACAGACTGAGTAAAGCAGATTACTCTTTCGACTGTGGGCAAGCTTCATCCAATCCATTAAAGGCCTGAATGGAACAAAAGGCTGAGCAAAACAGAATTCACTCTCTCCGCCTGATGGTCTTAAGGCTAGTCTTCTCCTGCCTTTAGATTTGGGTTCAGAATAGAACTTACATCATCAGTTCTCCTGGTTCTCAGGCCTTTGGATTCAGATTAAGACTATACTATCAGCTCTCCTCGGTCTCCAGGTTGCAGATCTTAGAATTCTCAGTTATCACAAGAGCAAATTCCTTATTTTATGTGTGCGTGTATATACATGTATGTATGTGTAAGTCTCCTATCAGTTTTGTTTTTCTAGAGAATCCTGTCTAATACACCATCTTTCATTACGCCTGTCATTAAAGAGATACACAAAAATGTAAAACAATGCCACTCTTTCAACTAATTTTTTTGTCTTGGAAAATAGTTATTTTTCAGGGCACCTGGGTGCTTCAGTGGGTTAAGCCTCTGCCTTCGGCTCACGTCATGACCTCACAGTCCCGGGATTGAGCCCTGCATCAGGCTCTCTGCTCAGCGGGGAGCCTGTTTCCCCCTCTCTCTCTGTCTGCCTCTGTGCCTACTCGTGATCTCTCTCTCTGTCAAATAAATAAATAATCTTAAAAAATAAAAAGTATTTCTCATTTTTAAAATATATCATTTATGCTAATATATAATGGGTTTATTATTTTTAAAATATTTTTAAACGTTTTAATTTCTAGTAAGCTAAATATCAATATAGATAATCCTTATGAACAAAAGACACTTAAAATACTTATGAAGAATGTAAAGGAGTCCTGAGATAAAAAAAGAAACTGAATTAGCTAGTCTACATAATTAAAATTGTTAAAGATCTATTAGAAAAATGAATATTAAAGTAATTCACCTCTTACTATTCTTAACAGCTAAATCAGAATTTCTCATGCTGCTTATGAAGAGAAAAATAGTTTGCTAGTTACACAAGACACACCTGATCAGCCTTAGACCTCCACCGAGCTGTTTTTTCCACAGAGACCACAGTAGTATTAGAAATATGTGTCCTACTATTGCCTTGATATAGTGGCTGTTGCCATACATGACAGATCAATGGAACAACCTGAAAATCAAAAGTAGATTTAAATAGAGTAGTGACACAATCATTGTTATTAGATAATAATAAAATCTAAACTTTAGCTTGTACTTCTCAGTTTCTAAAGCATTTTCAAATATGTGTGTGTGTGTTTGTGTGTGTGTGTGTGTGTGTGTGTGTGTGTGTGTGTGTATATATATATATATATATATATATATATAAAACATTTCAACTCCACAACCACTGTCCAAATTACTACCTTAACTTAAAAACAAAAAACAGGAGCACCTGGGTGACTCAGTTGGTTACTGACTCTTCATTTCACCTCAGGTCATGACCTTGGGGTCCTAATATCCAGTCCAGTGTCAGGCTCTATGCTTAGCATAAAGTCCGCTTGCAATTCTCTCTCCTTCTCTCTCTTTGCCCCTCCCCACTGCCCTCACGCATGCATGCTCGTGCACGCGCTCTCTCTCTCTCTCCAGAATAAATAAACAAATCCTTAAAAAAATAAAAATAAAAAAATAGTCTTAAGGTTATCCAGTTAGAACTCAATATACTTTCCAATAAACCATGCAGTTCTTTAACCTCCTTTACCCCTAGAAGTAAAAGAAGCAAGCAGAAACAAGCAAGTTACTAACTTTAAAATCTTACTATTTGAGATACCTAAGAAATGAACCCTAACAATAGGGACTAAAATCAACTCATGGTGGGGACTGTGGGAACAAACAGGCTATTTTGTGAGATCAGGGGTTAGAGCAGGGGTCCCTCAACTGTGAAAGGAAGCAGTAAAAGCTGTGACTACAGCTCAAGGCTGAAGCAATGCAAATGGAAAAGATCAAGGCAATCAAACAAAAATGAGCTAGGTCAAGTCACCCACTGGTTCAGAGAATGAGTCCTGAGATTTTCTCCAATATCCCTGGAAAATAAAAACCCAAAGCTTCAATATAAGACCTCTTCTTAAAAAAACAGCCACAAGGGGCAAAGTAAAGACAACCACAAAAACACCAGGTAGTGAAGGGTCCACCAAAAGAGAAAACAACAACAAAAAAAAAACACTCCTGCTAATAAAAATGCAATTACAAACTATACTTTCAAAAAACTTTAAAATGAGTATCTCAGATCCTCAAAGATATAAACACACAATGTCCATGAAAAGAGAAGAAGTTATAAAAGTAAACAGGCAGTTATAAGCCAAGAAAAGATGAATGCTAACAAATTATTAATAACCACAAATGTGAAAGAGCCTCTGAAGGAAATCCAAGGTCATCAGATTTTTTCCAGATTTAAAACACTGTTACTACACTCAAAAAACACTTTTACAGAGAGAACTTAAAACAATGTATTTTTGGTTACAGAAAGGCCAGCTTATTTAAAATCTATTCAATAACTAAAGAGATTTCTAAGATACCAATTCTTCCAAGAGGTTTTTCTCTAAAGGTAGAGTACCATGGCTCACACTCATCTTGCTTCAGTGGCAATGTTTAAGGGACAAAGAATAAAAAGTAAAGAAAACTGTTTTGCAAATGCATTCTGGACATCTGAAATACCTAAATATGTAACAATACAGCCAAAGTTCTAGCACAGTCTTCTTTGAGCCCTCCAGGAAAGAATCCCAACATAAATGTTTAAAATGGCTAGTCACTGCAGCTAAATAATGCTGGTTGTGGACCACGGGGTCTTGCCTTTGAAAAGAGTTGCTTCACAACAGCTTATAAAAAGAGTTCAATTCTTTAGGATATTAGTAATGATACAATATTAAGAAACTAGCACTTTGAGAACTAACCCAATATATGAGAAAACAAACATTCCCCCCTTAGTTTTATCAGTTTAAAGAAAACCTAAAAATTAAATGCTAAAAGTTCTTATTAGAAAATCCATTCCCGGGGCACCTGGGTGGCTCGGTGGGTTAAGGCCTCTGCCTTCCGCTCACGTCATGATCCCAGGGCCCTGGGATAGAGCATCGCCAGCTCTGCTCAGCAGGGAGCCTGCTTCCCCATCTCTCTGCCTGCCTCTCTGCCTACTTGTGATCTCTGTCTGTCAAATAAATAAAAAATATTAAAAAAAAAAGAAAATCCATTCCCCAGAACTTCCTGTTTTTATCACCTGTTTAGACATCATCAAGAAAACTAATTAATACATTCCCATATGATTGATCAACTTTCCCACTATTGCTTCTGACTATAACCCAAATACTTGAAGGATTCTTAAGATGAATGCTTCAAAGCTAAGCAGGTGTCATCAACTCTTCATCTGAGATTAAATGTTTTTTGGCATAAATTAACACCTTGAAAGAGCCCTTCCCTGAATAGGTTTTTAATATTAAAGGTTAGTAGTCTTCCAAATATATGCTGCCTATGAGATCTAAGGACACATATAGGCTGAAAGTAAAAGGATGGAAAAGGATATTCCATGCAAATAGTAACCAAAAGAGCAAAGGAGTAGCTATACCAAATTCAAATGAAACAGATTTTAAATAAAAAACTGTTATGAGACAAAGGACACTATAAAACCATAAAAGGATCAAATCACCAAGAAGATACAACAATTACAAATATTTGTGGACCCAACCTTATAGCTCCCAAATCAATTAGGCAAATTTTTAAAGAATTGAAGGAGAAATATACAGCAACACAGTATATTAAAAGACTTCAATACCTCACTTTCAATAATGGATAAAACCACCATATGGAAGAACAATAAGTAAATAAAGTGAACAACACTATAGACCAACTGGACCTAACACATATACAGAAAGCTCCACCTAAAAACAGCAGAATATACCTTTTTTTTAAAAGATTTTATTTATTTGACACAGCGAGAGACATCGAGAGAGGGAACACAAGGAGTGGGAGAGGGAGAAGCAGGCTTCCTGCTGAGCAGGGAGCCTGATGTGGGGCTCGATCCCAGGACTCTGGGATCATGACCAGAGTGGAAGGCAGACACTTAACAACTGAGCCACCCAGGCCCGCCCCCAGAATATACATTTTTTTCAAGTACATATGGAACATTTTTTAGGATAGAACATGTTAGGCCACAAAAGTCTTAAGAAACTCAAGAAGCCTGAAATACAACGTCTTTTCCAATCACAGTGGAATGAAACTAGAAATCAATGGCACAGAAAAAATTGGAAATTTCCACAAACATATGGAAATTAAACACTATATGCTTTAAAAAAAAAGCAAACAATAAATCAAACAAGAAGTCACAAGGGAAAAACAAAAACAACTTTGACACAAATGAATATGAAGACACAAAATACCAGAACTTATGGGATTCAGCAAAAGCAGTGCTAAAGGGAAATTTACCACTGTAAAGGCATACATTAAAAAAAAAAAAAAAAAAAAAAGGCAGAAGATAGTCCAAGATAGCAGAGGAGTAGAAGACCTTAGTTTCATCTTGTCCCAGGAATTCATCTAGATAGCTATCATATCATTATGAACACCCACAAACTCAACCAGAGATCTAAAAAAAAAAATAATATTCTGCAAATCAAAAAGCATACACTTTCTACGAGACAGAATGACAAGACAGAAAAACTCACCTCAAAAAAGAGAACAAGAGGCAGTAATTATTGCCAGGGATCTAATCAGTACAGAGGTAAGTAAGATATCAGAACTGGAGTTCAGAATAACAATTACAAAGATACTAACAGAATCCCTTTCTGGAGAGACAAAAGAACTAAAATTTAATCAAGTCAAAATATAAAAGGTTATTAATGAGAGGCAATAAAAAATGAAGACTCTAACTGCTAGGATAAATAAGGCAAAGAAAGAATTAGTGATATAGAAGACCAAATGACGGAGAAGAAAGAGAGATAAACTACTGGATCACGAAGGTAGAATTCGAGAGATAAATGATACCATAAAGCAAAACAATATTGAAATAATTGGGATCCCAGAGGAGGAAAGGGAGGGCCCCTAACCGGGGGGAGAAAAAAGGCATTCAATCCAGGAGGCACAGAGAACCCCCTTCAAAATCAGTTCAACACCTTGACATGTAATAGTGAAACATGCAAATCTCAGAAGCAAAGAGAAAATCCTGAAAGCAGCTTGGGACAATCAATCCATAACCTACAAGAGTAGAAACATTAGACTGGCAGCAGACCTATCCACAGAGACTTGCCAGACCAGAAAGGACTGGCATGATATATTCAGGGTGCTAAATGAGAAAAATATGCAGCCAAGAGTACTTTATCCAGCCAGAAGTCATTCAAAATAGAAGAAGAGATAAAAAGCTTCCAGGACTAGGGGCACTTGGGTGACTCAGTGGGTTAAAGTCTCTATCTTCAGCTCAGATCATGATCCCAGGGTCCTGGGATCGAGCCCCACATCAGGCTCTCTACTCCTCAGGGAGCCTGCTTTCCCCTCTCTCTCTCTCTCTGCCTGCCTCTCTGCCTACTTTTGATCTCTGCCAAATAAATAAAATCTTAAAAAAAAAAAGCTTACAGGACTAAAAGAATTTGTGTGGGAATGCAAGCTGGTCCAGCCACTCTGGAAAACAGTACACAGGTTCCTCAACAAGTTGAAAATAGAGCTCCCCTACAACCCAGCAAATGCACTACTAGGGATTTACCCCAAGAAACAAATGTAGTCATCTAAAGGGGCATCTGCACCCCAATGTTTAGAAGCAATGTTCACAATAACCAAACTTTGGAAAGAGCCCAGATGTCCATCGACAGATGAATGAATAAAAAAGATGTGGTATACACACACACACACACACACACACACACACACACACGGAATATTACTCAGCCATCAAAAAAATGAAATCTTGCCATTTGCAATGTGGATGGAACTAGAGAATATTATGCTAAGCAAAATAAATCAGTAACAGAAAGATAATTATCATATGATCTCACTCCTATATGGAATTTAAGAAACAAAACAGAAAATCATAGGGGAAGAGAGGAAAAGATAAAACAAGACGAAACCAGAGTTGGAGACAAACTGTATGAGACTCTTATGGGAAACAAACAGAGTTGTTGGAAGGGGTTAGGGATGGAGGGATGGGGTAACAGGGTGATG